AGATTCCTAGTTTGATATTTCTTTCATTAATCCAATCAAATTGGTACAACTCGTACCATGAATTGTTCTTTAAGGACACTCATCATTAGATTATAATTTCACAGCTACACATCATCATCATACAACTATTCAATATCCCAATTGTAAAAACTGCCAACCACAAGTAGATAACAGAATAACAAATTTTTGAAAATAAATGTGCATACTTTTGGGCCCAAAAGACTTAAACTCCTCCGCAAGCCTTGAAATTTTAAGAATAGAAAGACAAAGGAAGCATCAGTTCCAGAAGCGTTAAGCTTAAAGTCGCTAACCAATGCTTTGGTTTCAAGTAAGGTAGCTATAAAGATTTTAACCAAACCATTTCATGACAAGATGCGTCTTTTGAAGCTATATATTGGTCCATTCGGTTTTGGGAATTACCAAACTCAACGTTAAAATTTCATGGGACGTAGCGAATAGTTTACAGAAGAAAGGTTTGAAAGATGATGAGGCGGTCTACTAAGCTACTCAACAAGGCAAACAAACAATCTAACTTTAAGAATCTCGAAACCCTAGAAAAGATTGCTCAGATATAAAGGGAAGTAGGGTAACCAAAAGTTGGACAACAAGAATAATTACAAGGAAAAACAGCGAACAATCATTAGTGAACGGATTAACCAACAACTTTTACCTCTTCCTGTTAAACACGACCGATGGAATTGAAGATTCAAAGAATGAGACCGAGTAGTGACAGCAGGCGAACTGAGTGCGCCCAGAAAGAGAGTTTTTTCACCTTTTACGAGAAGGAAAAACGGTCATGGGTCTGGGTGCCTCTGCTGTAAAAAGACAGTTGTTGATGGGCTAGGCCCCAACAGGCCCATGCAAGACTACTTCAATTTTAAGGCCCATCTCACAAAAGAAATTGAAATACTATTGAATTTTATGGATCGGAACATTGGTTAATTTTATTTGCTAAGTGTTAGAGAAATTAAATATATCCTACTTTTTGTTTCTAAAAATCTTTCTATCCAATAAAATAGTGATATGTGTAACATTTAATGTTAATTAAAGTATTTTAATATACTATTATCTAGGAAGAGGAACAGAAGTGGGAGGATATTTAATTTATCAATGTTTTATATCAAGTTGTTTGTTGTCTAAAGATTTTGGACAAGAGGCTCATGTTCTAACACGTGGTTTTCACATTTGAGATATAAAAACAAATGTTTATAAAATATTTATTGCATTTAGTTGAAATGATCAAAATGAAAGTTATAGTAAGCGTCAATACGAACGCATGAATATAAAGAGCATCAAAAACGAATTTCATATGTAAATTTTATGATTTTTACAAGTTCCAACGAATTTTATAAAATTCGCGGTGCGGGGGATTTGTCGTGTGCGGAGGAATTTTATAAAGTCTGTATGTAAAAGTCATGAAGTCTGTCTGGAAGCGGACCGCGGCACAGCCAATGTTTACCGTGGCCAAATTTGGCCCTATAAATAGAGCCCCCCCCCCCCCCCTCCTATTTTCTTTGCCCCTTTCCCTTCAATCTCTCTTTTTCGTTCTCCCTCTCAAAACTCAGTCGTTCGTGATTTAATTTCTCGTTCTCGTTCGGTAGTACGGTAGGAAGCGCTGAAAGGTTCGGAAGGATCCTAAGAGAAGATCAGCTTTGAAGTTACATTCGTCGTTTTCCTAGTTATTCATCAATCAGGTAAATTAACACTTGCGCTTAAGTATAACGTGTTATATAGTATACCTATTGTCGTTATTATGACCGTGTATTAGATTAATCATTAATTATAATTAGTATTTGATTGATCTACTTACGGGAGCGTGTCTAGTATAGACATGTTTGGTATGGTTGTTGGATTTCAGAAGGTTAAATGTGTCGAAATGATCCTGCCTTCCGGATGGTCTTGACCGACTAATACTTATTGGTAGTCATTTTAATATTAATGGGATTGATGAAGGATCTAGATATTGGTCTTTCTATTCCATAGATATTGATCATTTATATTATTATAGGTTAATACATGTTTGGCGCAATTTGCTCGCCAATTGGAATGAGGATAGTTGTCCGAGCACTCTTCAAGTGAGTTTTCTCTCACTATACTATATATTACATTATGTATCCTCTGTATGTTAGGATGTTGTCATGTTGTAGTGTGTTGTTAGGCAAGTATATTAGTGTTAGTCAATTGTGCATGTTGTGTGTGATTGATTGTTTGTTTGTTTGTCGTTATATATGTTAACATATCATGTTGTGAGTTGAGAACGGTCCAATGGTGTGCAAAGGCCAAGATACTCGGGCGAATAAGCTTTATACTGAAGCCAAAGGGGTTGACCATCTTTATGTTGAAGGCAAGGGAGTGGACCAACTTCGTGTTGAAGGCCATTATCTGTATGCATGTATATGGTATTGTGTATATGGTATTTTAGAAAATCATTAATCTTTGGCTTACAGTTGCAGATTAAATGTTTTCAGGTATTTCTTCATATCGGGGGGAGGGCAACTCTTAACTATACACGCGATGATTTGCCTTATGAATGAATGAATGTGTTGAATGGAATATTACCTTTATAAATGAAAAATTTTGGTTTGAAAAATAGAATGTTACAAGTTGTATCTATGTAACGCACAGCATATTCAGGCTAGACAATTTAATAAATAATAGAGATATATTATCTAAAGATGTGGTAGTTTAATGACTATTTCTTTGTGTGGATATAAGGAGCACTAAATCCAAATTCGTAGGAAAAGTTTGACTTATTTGAAGTTCACGATTAAACCAACACGGCTATGTGCGTTGTAAATAGTGAGTCGGAGATAGGTTGCTTATTAGCCTAAATAATCTAAACGAAAGTCCTACTATCGTAAAAGAAAGAACGTGCATATAAAGAATGTCCAAATCCGACTTTATATGTTGGAGTTATGATTTTTCAAAGTTTTAGCACGACAGTGTACGACATAGAAACCGAAAGTAAAATCGGTTGATTGTTAGTCAAAACAATCTAAGCAAGAATCGAAGATCTCGTGAATAGGAGTTCGTCGATGTAAAGACAGTTGAGAACGGATTTTGTACAAAAGAGTTATGATTTTTTATATGAACAACACTCTAAAGCATGTTAAAAATATAACTTTAAAAATAAATTGAGAATTAGCCGAGGATTCTAACAAAAGTGCGCAGTGCTAGTCAATAGCTACACGTGATATAAAAAATGTTCAAAACGGAGCTCGTATGAGGAGATATGATTTTTTCGAAAAATTGAAAAGTCGGGCGACAGGCAAGGCGCGCGACACGAAAAAAGCGTGGGGCGCACACCTTCTAGAAGGGCGACACGTGTCACACCCCCCAAACCAGAACGGTGGAAACGTTTGGGGGTGGATGACTTTCATGTACAGTATCAAACAATTGAGTAATAGCGATCAATCATTACAACCATTGTATTGAAATTTAACAAGTTACATTGTGCTCAAAATATTGTTTACATACTATCAAGTGCATATGACAAAAATGAATAACTGTGATGCGACAACGTCCCATCCCCCAAAAATCTTGTGGTTACCTGTTTACTTGCTTCTTGAGAATACAAGTGATTTTGAAAGTGTCAACTTAAGTTGGTGAGTCATAAACGTTTTATATGAAAAGGATTTTGTAACTGTTTCGTGTAAAATGACAGTGTATACTACCATAAAATCCAATATTTTCTTTAAAAATGAGTTGCAAGTCTTATTCAAAGACCGAAAAATGTAAATAATGTTTACTGGAAAACAGTGTTATGAAGTTTTATCTTTATATAAAACACTACTGAATGTATGTTATCACGTAAACCAAATGTTTTGTTAAATACCCTATGTGAGTTTATATAACCATATTGATGCGACACCCTGATGCCTGCTACGACGTTCTTCAGGCTTCAGAACTTTTACGACATTTGTCACCTAGACTGACCTAGTCTAACTGTAGCTAACAGCTGAGGTGCGGGGTTGTCATCCCGTATAGATCTATACACAAGGTATGCTCTCCCTCCAAGAGACTCTGGTTATAATGTAGGACTTAATGTGTACTCTGGTAGGTACGGTGAAGTTGAATGTCTCACAACCAGTATCAATCAATTTAATGAACTGAAAACTCCTTGGTTCTTGTAAAATGCAAGATTACTCTTCCATAGTAGTTACATAGTGTAAAATCATAAGTATACCTTTAAATAATTATATGTTTCGTCCGAAAAGTATAAATAGTATTTTGTGACCCATAAACTATACAAATTATAGTTTTAGTTATGATGTTTTGTTAAGTCCATTTATTATAATCAAAATAGATAATACTATAAGTTATCATTTCTAGATGTTTTAAAAGATTATAACATATAATTTTACATCCAA